TTAGCTTTTCATTAGTGATATCATGGTACATGCTTCGAGAGTTTTTCGGTGTGCATGTGTGTGTGTATGTGTGTGTGTGTGTGTGTGTTCGCAATTTTGTCATCTAATTTCAACTGAGCAGTCAGAGAAGCTCGAAAGCTGAAACTTTCGAGGCATTTTCCGAGCCCGTTTGCCACGTTCCATTTCCATGCGTTTTTGCGTCTTACACAAATGCAGCACCTTTCGACAGTATGCGTTTCCGCATTTTCATAAAGTGCAAGAAACATAAAGACGCGTACTGTCGAGAGTTTATCGGTGATTGTATGTGTGTGCGTGTATGTGTGTGTGTGTGTGTTCGGATTTTTGTTACACAAATTCAACTTAACGACCACTGAAGCAAAGAAGCTGGAATTTCACAAAGATATTTCTAGCTCACGTGCCTTCCAAACCAGCGTTCACGTACAGCTAGACCTCACGTACGGAGACCTAAAAAAATTCACGCAAGTTTTTTGGAAAAAGACTTCGAGATCGGGAGTAGATAAAAAGCTGAAATTTGACAAAGATATCCTATGTTCTTATATGAAACAGCGATTTCGAATTCATTTGAATGCATGTGATGTGTGCGGGCAAATCAAGGTTAAGGTAATTTTTCACTTAGTCGCAAGCAGTATAGTAATGATTTAATCAAAAAAAGTCGTAAAACAGTAATGACCTGAGAAAAGGAAAAACTCAATATGTTTTCTTAAAAAAAGCCATTTGAGCTCCTCTTCTAACTACGCTACAAGGCCCATTTGGTTAATATTTGCTTGTAAAAAATTGGAATTGTATTCAGTAAGCTTTTGTATGTTCCAGCGATTCTGCATATCGAAAGTAGCACTGACTAAAAGCGTCGATAACGTATGTGTATTTGTACAGCGAATGGATGTTAACGATGTTAAGGATGTCGGTCGTTTTTTGATTTGTTAATTTTCCTGCGTTTTTTCACATACACGCAAGTGCAAAAACGCATATTGACAAGAGGTTATCGATGCATGTGCGTGTGTGTGTGTGTGTGTGTGTGTGTGTGTGTGTGTGTGTGTGTGCGTAATCAGTGTATTCGCACTTCCGTCATCAACTTTCCACTCAGCAACTAGAGGTGCTAGGAAGCTGAAACTTTTGCAGCATATCCTCGCCCCAAATGCGAACCTCTATTTTAAAATCCGTTTATGTGGCCTGGATTTCACGTGCGGATGCCAAGGTGAATTAATGTAAATTTTTTGGCGGAAAAAGGATTCCGAGAAACAGAAATAACAGGAAGCTAAAACTTCATAAGGATATTCTGTGCCACTGTGTGAGTTAAAGATTTCAAGTTCAGCTTTAAAGCATGTCTATGTCGCACATACCGTCGCTTCAGAGTTGAGACTGAAGGGTCTTTAGCAAAATGCAATTAATTTTGGAAGTAGACTGTGCAGAATGCTCTGATTTTATGTGGATATTTGCTGTCCATATTGCTGGCCCGTAAAAGTAAAGCGTACCACGTGTGATGCACGCGGGCACGACAAATATACTTACAGCGAAAGAGAGCCAGTCAAATTACAAAGCTGAAATTTCATGAGGATATTCGCTATCCAAATGCTACTTAAACTCTTTAAATTCGGCTTTGCGGCACTTTTAGGCGGCCTTGCGTTAAACGCAAGTGAAGTTTCAATGTCGAAGAATTTTGGCAGGGTTTTGCTCTTGCAGCTAGATTGTGCAAGAAGCATAAAATGAGCTTTAGCTCACGCATATCAGCATGCACAAGTTTATCAAATGTTCAAATTGCAACGCTTTCGTCATCATTCTCTTTCAGTAATTAGAAAGGTAGAGGAAGGCACAAATTTTACAGCTATGTTGGTAGAAGCTGTGTGGCACTATGATCGTAATATCGTCTTTCACAAAAGCTACCTCTCATTTACATGTGCGTCAAATCTGAGGGTGTAAAATCGTCCACTAACTCTTTTCCTAGAAAACATGCTGAGATGTACTGAAGACTGAGATGTAACACGGCCCCACAAAGCAGCGCTACCGTCCCAACCGTTAGCCGTCGCCCTGTTCCACTACCTCCGGTAAATGACCAGAAACACCGCAAACACGAGTGCGCATTTCAAATTGCAAATCAACAATCGCTCATATCGTCAACGATTGCTTCAAGATTTGCGCAAAAATTCATGATGGCACCGGCAATTGTAGTGCGCACTACTTTGATTTCATTAGAGTAGTTGTCACGTTATTTCAAATTTATAAATTTATGCTGGTGGTGAATGTAACAAAATGCTCACAACTTGCTTCATTTTTTTGAGAAGTGGAAAGCATCTGTTAGTTACTATTACTGATCGAACTTCAATTATCGTATCGGTTACACTCACATTTTCATCAAGACTTTTCTGTCACAGTTGTTATTTGAAAGCTGACTGAATATTCAGCCTTTCCGAATTGTGAATACCAGTTTGGATTCAAATGAATTTCCCACTTGCCAGTTAAAAATTTCAGATACTCTATCTCCACGAAAACGTGAAATTAGTGCCCCAAACTAACAAAACAATTTGCACCCTTCGATTTATAAAAGAAGGACCTGAAATAAAACTTGTATCACTACTACTAACTGAGTAAAAATTTGTCAATTTCAGATAGTAAAAGTGATACCGTTCAGTTATGTCATTCATTCCTATTTCGTATTGCAAGAATCATTTACAAGAGCGCAGCTTGAAGCCGAAAAATTATCCGGATCGCCAGCCGCTGTTGCTTGTATTCTTGATCTTTCGGGCCTTAACATTACCGATTTCATCAACCCGCTAAGCATTTCTGCTAAATTTGCACGACTAATTGTCAAAGTATGGGCCGACTACTTCACTGAAACGGTGAATTTACAAGGAAAAAATATTGGCAGAAAAGAAAACTATAAAATAATGCTCCAGCAGAAATGTTCAAAAATGCGA